GCCCCGGACAGGGGCTCCCGCCAGGGGAGAAGGGCGCCCCCAGGACAGAGCCGCCCCCCGCCCCCCCGGAGCCCGTGGCCTTCCTGCGGCTTGAGGGGGCGACGGAGCACAGCAGCGACACGGACCCCCCGGCTGCCCTGCCCCCGCCGTGCCGCGCGGAGCACCCGGAGAGGATCCGGGAGACGCTGCAGGCCTTCCTGTGCGAGGCGGCGGAGGGGCAGGAGCTCAGCACGGTCAGGCAGCGCGCCCTGGAGATCGAGGCCCGGATCCGCCGGGCCGGCCTCACGCCGCCCTCGCTCATGAAGCGCTCCGCCTCGCTGGCCAAGCTGGGCTGCCTGGAGCTCTCCGCTGACGACCTCTGCCAGTGGGATTCCCAGACGCCGGTCCCTACCTCCCCCGCTGGCGCCCGGCAGCCCGAGGCCCTGCCCTGCCCGTCCCCCGAGGACGCCTCCAAGAAGCAGCGCGTGGTGCTGCGGACCCCTGAGCACGAGACGCGGCCCGCCTCGCCGCAGAGCACACTGGACTTCCAGCAGGGCGGGGAGGAGGGGCTTCCATTGAGCACTGGACACGCCCCCGGCAACACCCCGCCCCCTGCCCCCCTTGTCGCCATGGCTGCCAGGCAGCAGCACGGCAGGACACACCCCCTGCGGCGGCTGAAGAACAGTGACAAGAGGAGGAGCTCCAGCTCCCTGTACAACACCATGTGACCCTCCACTGTGTGTGCGCGTGCCCCCCTGTGGGGCCGTCTCTCAAACAGGCACTTTACTCTCGTGGTTTTATGTCTATGGGTGTGCGTTTGTACAGTATGAGTGTTTGTCCAGTGAGCGTGTCTGCATTGTATATAGACAGACGTAAGTGGCGTTTCTTTTAAGTGCTGTAAAAAAGTACATTTCTTTTTTTAACCTGTGCTATAGCTGTGATTATTAAAGAGAAAGTTCAAAACATCTCAGGTGTTCAACATGTTTTTTGAAGTCTTGGAAGGCCTCAGAGGTCTCATAGCAGAAGAGAGAGCAGCGTTAAAAGACGGAGGAATTTGCAGGCAGGTAAGAGATGTAACACAATACGTTTAACACACCATGATCCCATTAACAGGTAAGAGACATCCATGTAAACATGTATACATGGGGCGGAGCAGTGGCACTGTGGCTAAAGATCTGTGGCTGGAAGGTTGCTGGTTCAAATCCTGCGGATGGCAGAGGAATCCTACTCCGTTGGGCCCCTGAGCAAGGCCCTTCACCCCAGCTGCTCCAGGGGTGCTGTATAAATGGCTGACCCTGCGCTCTGACCCCCAGCTTCTCTCACCCTGTCTGTGTGTCTCATGGAGAGTAAGCTGGGGTGTGTGAAAACACAAATTCCTAATGCAAGAAATTGTATATGGCCAATTGTGATCTGATCTTATACAGTAAATGAAAATAAAGAGTTGTCTAAGCAGGGTAATAGCTGTGGGTATAAAGGATAGCTTAGTTCTATTGCTCTTGAATTCAGGCAGACTAAATCGCTGGCCAGATGGATGGAGCTCAGATTCGCTGTGCAGTAGGTGATTATACTGGCCTTCTGCTCTTTTCTTCTTGATGTCGATGTCTGCAAGCTGTGGCTGTTGTGCAACGATCGTTTTGCCGGCTGCCTTCACAAAGGGAGACCTGGGAAAAACTAAGGCTGCTGCTGGAAGAGGTGTTAGTGGGGCCAGCAGGGGGCGCTCACCCTGCGGTCCATGTGGGTCCGAATGCCCCAGTATAGTGACAAGGACACTAGACTGTAAACAGGCGCCGTCCTTCGGATGAGACGTAAAACTGAGGTCCTGACTCTCTGTGGTCATTAAAAATCCCAGGGCGTTTCTTGAAAAGAGTAGGGGTGTTACTCCATTGGCCCTTACCAATCATGGCCTCCTAATAATCCCCATCTCTGAACTGGCTTCATCACTCTGCTCTCCTCCCCACTGAGAGCTGGTGTGTGGGGGAGAGGACTGGTGCATCATCCAGGTGGGGCTGCACACTGGTGGTGGTGGAGGGGATCCCCATTACCTGTAAAGCACTTTGAGTGGAGTGTCCAGAAAAGCGCTATACAAGTGTAAGCAATTATTATTATTATTATTATTATTAATCCTGCGCCGTCTGTTTTTATTGCAATGCGTTAAGATTCCCAATCCGGGCTCCTGGAGTGAATGTTGGGAAAGGTTCCATGAAAGCTCTGTAGAATTAAGTCATTGTTGTGACGCACTGGCCTGTCGTTCTTTCACATGGCATCTGTGTTTTCACCAACAGCACCAAGATATTTGGAGCTACTTTTCAGTTTCTTGAACATTCGTACCCCCAGCCCAGTCTGTTGCTGTATAATCGGTAATCCGCTGTGGGTGGGGTGACCCAGTAAAACCAGGCTGCTGTCCGATATCTCCACTCTCTTTACCTGGCCGGCAGGAGAAGCAGTGCCATCGGCCCGGGCTACGCTAGCCCAGACTGGCCCTGATCGGAGACTGCTGGCAGCCTGGCGCGGCTCACCTGGGGGAGATCATCCTCTGGAGTCTGGCAGTGGGAAGGTCTGGTACACTTGCCCCTCCGATCCGCTGTTTTCTAATCAGCCTTTATAGCATGTTTGAGAATTTGTGAAAGCAAACCCAGCCTTTTCTGACAGGCAGGTTTGATGTAATGGTGCCACACTGCCCATTGGGGACTTCCCTCGAGTGCGGGATCTATAGAAGCTGTGTGCACAGGAGTGCGGGATCTATAGGAGCTGTGTGCACAGGAGTGCGGGATCTATAGGAGCTGTGTGCACAGGAGTGCAGGATCTATAGGAGCTGTGTGCACAGGAGTGCAGGAGTGCAGTATGTACAGGAGCTGTGTGAACAGGAGTGTAAGATCTATAGGAGTTAATAATAATAATAATAACAATAATTCCTTACACTTATATAGCGCTTTTCTGGACACTCCATTCAAAGCGCTTTACAGGTAATGGGGACCCCCTCCCCCACCACCAATGTGCAGCATCAAGTGCTCAAGAGAGCAGGATCTATAGGAGCTGTGTGCACAGGAGTGCAGGATCTATAGGAGCTGTGTGCACAGGAATGCAGGATCAATAGGAGCTGTGTGCACAGGAGTGC